CACTCAAATTTCCTGTGAGCATCTAGAATTCATATTCTCCCATAACTAAGGGTATTGCTGTTATGGGCTGTGTATCTCCCACTCTTACCTGACACAGCTTCTCAAGAGATTGTGTCTTACACATTTTTTAAACACCCAGTATCTAGTATAATGTCTGACAAATTAATGGCACTCAGTAAAACTTTGTCAATAAAGCCTTCCCATCAAGGAAGATACTCAAAAGAATGAGCTATACTCTCTGAAAGCAATGCCAAAATCCAGGTTCTAAATATCTTTTAGGTAGCAGCTATGCTGGAATAAATGTTTGAATTTTCCAAATGATTGCCTTGAAAAGGATAGCTCTTATTGCACGTATATGTTGGATTATATTTCATGAAATATGAGGTCATATTACTTTATAATCATATCTTGAAGCCTAGTAATGTTCTGATAGCATACAGCTGCTTCCTGGGACGTGTTAAAGAGGCTCATGTCTGTAATAAAAGACCTAAGACGTCCCAGGTGAACTAAATAGGTCAAAAAGAAGGGATTATCTGGTACAAAGTAAAACTTCTTTGTAAGTCTCCAGATTGCTTTCCTCTGGTCTCTAACTTTGATCTCATTTCCTTTCTAAGAGGAGAGTACCTATCATCTGGTATAGTCATTAATACCATAAAATCAAAGACTTATCTTCCTGGGCACATGATGGAATTGTATTTCCTATACTCCTTGTGGTTGAGTGAGGCCATTTGACAAGCTAGTTCTGGCCAAAGAGTTGTGAATATAATTATCATGTGCATCTTGTTGGCCAAGTATTTACTTTCTCTCCTCTCCCTCTGGCACAGCTACTATTAATGCTCAAAATGACTCATGTTCTGTTAGCCCAGGTCTCTGATTAACTATGTTGAACATAATTCCCAATGGACACATAGCATAAACAAGAAATAAACCTTATTTTAAGTCACTAAGATATTAGGGTTCATTGTAATTGCCTCATATCCTAGGCTATCCTGATGCAGACTGGCTATTAAACCATTGGATTAGAAGGAAAAAAATAGGCCCTGTAGGGCATAATATCTTACCTCTCCGTATCCCATCACTTATGAAATGGTCCTGGAAAAGAACTAAAATGCACAATTGAAGAGGGTCTTGGCAAAGTAAGTAGATTGAACTGTAGTAATGTGTCATGGTCAGGAAAGACTGCTAATATATTTTACCTTAGGTTCAAAGGGGAGACACCGCTTTTGAGAAACCTCATGATGGAAAACACACAACCAATAAGAAAGTGGAGGGGCTGGAGTGCATTTTGACCCAGTGAAACTTTGGGCTGATATGGATTTGTGTGGACAATGCTTTATGCTATTATTGAGACCCAAATTGTGATCGGCCTAAAAAAGATCGGTAGATTTTATTAATACAAAGAATTACAGGGCTTCAGCCAACGCAGTGGTTAGAGGGATATTTATAGTTGTAAATCCTATATGGAAAAAAAAAATCATAAATCAGTAAGCTAACCTTCCAATAGAAAAAGAAGACCAAACGAAGCATTAAGCAAGCAGGAGGAAGGAAATAATAATTAGAGCAGAAATTAATAAAAAGAATAGAAAAAATTAATTAAACCAAAAATTGGTTCTTTGAAAAGATCAACAAAATTGACAAAGCTTTAGCTGAACCAACTGAGAAAAAAGAGGGAAGACTAATTACTAAAGTCAGGAATGAAAGAGGGGACATTGTAGAAACAAAAACGGACTTTAAGTGAATACTATGGACCAAGTAGATAACTTGGATGATAATGACAAATTCCTATAAGATACAAAGTACTGCAACTGACTCAAGAAGAAAGAGAATATCTAAATAGACCTATGACAAAGAGATTGAATTAATAATAATTCTGTAAGTTGGGCTATTATCAAGTGAATTTGATTATACAATGTCTATTATATTCTTATAAAAAACCAGGAATCTGAAAGTAAAAATGTGGGTTTCTTTTTCAAAACTGTATTTTAAATCTTGAATTCTCTTGTGGAGCATTAGTAACAAGATACTGGAAAATAAAGAATTTGAGAAGATGAGACAGAAGAAATAAGAAAAGAAAAATTTTAATTATAGGAAATCAAAGTCCATAAAAATCCATAAACAAGAAGAATGTTTCTTGTACCAAAGAGGAAGAAAAGGCATAGTTGGAACTGCAAAATTTCTTTAGCATGTACAGATACCAAATGCCATCACATTTCTTTCTTGTCTGCTTATTTTTAGCTAGATGTATGTTTTCTATCAGGCAGCTCTCACTGTGCCCAGTGTGAGCCTTCCTCATCCTCATTTGGCAGCCCCTGGGTCTTTCTTCTATCTGTATGAAACACCAACTTAAAGAACTCTATCGAACTCTTATTACTTGGCTGGCATCCAGGACTATGGGTGGATTAATGGAAACATGGCCAGTTAGAGGGTGTAAAGTTTATTTAATGGCAAAGGATAAGGGGAATTCGGAGACTATTCCATAATGCAGAAGATAACACAGCCTGCACCCAGTTACAGCTTCTTCTCTGCTGGGAGGTAGCGCTGCAGATAATACCAGGTGTGGAAAGTGAATGATTGCATCAGTATGAGAGAATCCCTGGGCCTTTCTCATGGATATTTTAAGAAACTTTTTTTGAAGTTTAATATACACTACACACAAATGCATGTATTATATATATTGAGCTTGATACATTTTTTGCAAACTGAACACCTCCAGGGAGTTTTTTACATCTTGTACTCTACCTTGCCTGATGGTTCTGGAAACTCTGGCCTTATTTGCCTGCAAAGCAGAACAACCCAAATGCATTCCTGAGTATTTACTGTGAAACTGGGTATTTCCCAAGCTCATCCCTACACCCACCTTTTCTAATTACTTCAGTGCCTATCATCTCTCTCTCCTTTGAGCTCTTGGTTACTCTCAACTAAACATTGGAATAATCATTGACTCACTAACTGATTCACACCTATTCTGTTCCCACTGGATTGTATTTGGAGAGCATGTATTGCTTATTATTTAACTGAAAAGTTAGTTTTCCTTTAAATATACCACTTAAAATTGTTTTCTATATTCCCCAAGAAGCATTATTACAAGGAACAAAACTAGAAATTAATGATAAAACAGGATTATTGACCACAGTTACATAATTAGAGCAAAAAATATATAAAGTGTTCAAATCTTTAATGTTCCAAGTCAAAGTTCCAATTATTTGACACTCTGTCCTATGTAGTAGGATAACCAGTTCACTCATGTGATCAAAGATCTCTATAAATTCGTAAAATGTTTCTCTAATATATTGCCAAGATATTTTAATTAACATCTCCCAAATTGCAAATTCACAGACCAGAGACCAGCTACAATAAAGCTTCCCACTTTGAAACTGCCTGTCCTGCAAAACTGACCATACTGGGCTTGAGATCTCCATGCTAAATTACTGGCCTGTGTAGTCAGGGGTTTCTTTTACATATTCTACTTGAAGAATATTATAACAAATCTTACCCATCAAATTAGTGAAAATTTTAAAAAAATTACTCAAGTCTGTCAAGAATGTGGAGAGACAGGCACCACCATATGTTGCTGAGAGGTGAAACCATACAGCCTCTCTGAAAAGCAATATGGCAATATTTATTAAGACTATTTACACCCTTATGCCCAGTAATTCCATTTCTAACAATTTCCTTAGCAAATTTCATTAAAGTAAATATTTATGTACAATGTCATTGAATCCAGTATTATCTATAATAAGCACAAAAATATAGAAACAACTGGGAAAATGTTAAGTAAATTATGCTATGTTTCTGGGGCTGTGGACCATTAGGCGGAAACAGTAATTACACTACTGAGAAATTTTAGACGTGGAAAATGCTCAGGATACAAGTTTAAGTTGAAAAAGGTAGTTAGCAGGTCCTTTTGTAAAATTATTGATATTATTATTCATGAAAGACTGAAAGTAAATGTATCTGAGTGGCTTATTTTTGAGTGGTGTGATTATTAGTTGTTTTTCTTATTTATAGTTTCTATATTTCCTAGAGAGAGCTCTATTATTTATACAATCAAAAGTTACTTTTAGAAAAATACTGTTTTGGCAGTACTTTGGCCTGTAATCAGGTTTCAAAGTGTCAGTCATAATGCACTCGTTAATCAATTTAAAAATCACAGGAACATCTCAAAATCATGAATTTTTATCTCCTCTTTCCCCTTTGTCTTTTTCATTACAAATCTTCAGCGAATCTCAATTTCATGTTTAAATTTGAGTATTTTAGGTTATTACTCTTCAAATATGTGACTTTGGTTTCCTCAGGTTTGTAATTTTTAAATGTTTCCTCGCTGAAGAAAACTCTTTGTACCTTTGATTTTAATCTGAACATGGTTCAATACTGTGACGTGCACTTAGTTCGTAAGTGTTAGCACGCCGAGGAACTTTTTTCTGGTCAATTTTTTAATCTCAAAAGGGACTGGCAAAACCAGTTCGTAATCAATTACACGTGGAAACCACGGTGTAAGCTCCACGTGAGCTTAGGAGGCGCTCGGAAACGCTATAAGAAATGCACATCGGGTTCAGGTGATACCAGTATATCCTTTCCAGCAGCCTGCCCTGGAAAGACAGATTTGGGTAACCTGAGCACAAAGGCGATGGCATAAGTCATGAACCACTGAGGTCAGAGCTGGCCGAAACAGAAAAGACCAATCAGGGAGGTCACAGAATAGACAGAGCAGGATAAAGAAATACAGCAGAGGAAGGAGGCTCAAAAACTTTCAGCTGTAGTAACTGGAGAGTTAAAGGGGGCATAAAATCACATTTCAGGCACTCGCTAGACCTTGAGACCTCAGCTTCAGCAACCAGAAAAAAATTTCAACTAAAGGAAATCCGGACTCATTTTTATCCTAGAGCCAGGTTTTAGTAACTTCTTCATTAGAAAGCGAAAGGGCGCGCATGCGCCGCGGCGCAGGCCGCCTCCCGGGGGGGCGGGGCTTTCCTTTCGCTTTAGGACGTCCGCCGGCGTCGGCTCCGCCTGCCTCACCTGCGCGTTACGTGCCCTGCGCCACTCGCCGGCATCTGAGCAATGATCCCCACCGTCGTGGGTCTTCGAGGTGAAAGGGGCAGTGCCCATGGGCCAGTTTAACAGCGGCGGAGGCAGGTGGGGGACCTTGACTGGGGTCAGCCCGCCGAACTTCCCCGCTCGAGGTGTCTAAACCCTCCGTTTCTCGGCGTCAGGTTCTAAGCGCGCGACAGGGACCTGCTGAGACCTTGACCAGAGCGATGCACGGTTTTGCGGCCTCGGTCTGGGAGCCGGGCGGCGCCTCCCGGCGGGGCGTGAAAGCCCCAGCTGGCTTCCATCCCTCCCCCACAACCCGAGCGCCGGTCCCCGCGCCCCGGAAGGCCCTGCTCCCCGCCGGCCGCGCTCCTGCCGCGGGTCCGCTGGGGCCTGGTTGGCTCTCACAGTTGGGCAAATCCTTGGTCCCCGCGTGGGCGCGGTGGGAGTAGGTCTCGAGCTTTATGTTGGAGGATTCTTGGCACATTTCGGGTTTGCCTTGCATTAGATGGGTATGCGTGTGTTCACACTGGCGAGTTGATTCGGGATATGACCGGAAATTGGGTGTTCGGCTTGAAGGCTGAGGTTTAAGTGGACTACCACACCAGGTAGGGGTAGACTTGAGAGCGCGTTTCAAAACAAAGAGTTCAGCTGATTGCGTCTCTGTCCTTGCGACTGGAGGGCCTCGAACTGCAAAGGGAGCCGAGCGCCACGAGGGTGAGGAAGTTTGTTTGGAAAATTACCCGTGTGCACTTGCACAGTTGGGATTTGGGAGTTCCCCAGAAAGCACCTCCTGATGGCGTTTGTTTCCAGTGCAATACCTTAGGCGGTAATCTACCAGGGTTTTTGGTGGTTGGTTGGTTGGTTGGTTTTTTAGACTTCATTGAAGTTTGTTTGAAAAAAGAGGCTGAACTTTTGGGATAAGATAAATGTTGGAAAAGGCTCGCTCCATTTATTTGGAAAGATTTCTGTAAATAATACTAGAACAAGGTATTATGAATTTTACAATTCAAAGTTACGCCTGTCCCTTCAGGGCTGATTATTGCCTCGATCTACACCATTTTTCCACTGTCAGATTTTTTTTCTTTTTTCTTTTTTAGTATTAGTAGCTTTATTTTTAGTTATCCAATCATTTTGTATTATATTCACATATAATGTTTAAAGCCTAGAACTGGATTTGGGGGAAAATGTTAATTCAGCAAATATTTATTTGACCACATTAGGTGCCGATACTGTTTTACGTTTTACATGTTGTGGATACAGAAATGAGCGAAACAGACCCGATCTTTGTTGGTTTGTGCTTACCTTCTAGTGAGGCGAGACAAGTAATAAATATGTCAGAGGGTGGTAATTGCTACACTGAGGATTAAAATAGGGTGATGTGCTAGCCTGTAGAGGGGCTACTTTAGACTGGGAAACTCTCTCTGAGGAAGGACACTGAAATTGAAATCGAAATGTAAAATTAGATCCCAAAAGCAAGGGATACGCATAAGAAAACCACTTTGTGAAGATCTTAGGTGTAATCCTTTTGACCAGGGAGGCTGGAAAGAGGGAGGGTGAGGGAAAGTGGAAGGAATTGAGGTCTGAGAAGTAGGCAAGCAAGAGACAGACCATGTAGGGTTTTGTAAGTCTTGGTGAGGAGTTTGGATTTTATTCTAAATTTGTAAATTTGTTCTTAGGTGCAGACCAGCTAAGTCCATTTTTCGCCACTCTTTCTTTTTGGTTTCCTTGATTTATTACATTGATTCTTCATCTCAAATCTTTTATATCTTTTTATTCTTTGTCGGAAAAGATGACAAACCATGACATGATAGCTTTCAACACTGCCACTTAAATTGTGAATGAAACCTTTTGGTCCTTTTTTATGAGTGAACTATATAATTCTGCATCTTAAAGGCAGAGCAATAGCCTTGGCTCCGTCCTGTGGAAGGAGCAGCAGAGTTTGTTAAGTAGTGAAAAATCTTTTTAAGCTGAGATTAGCTGATGTGGAATGAGGCAGTGTTGAGTAGCAGTTAGTTAAGGGAAAGTCTTCAAAGGTGAAATAAATACCCAAGGTTCTGGATGTTCAGTGTCAAATCAGTTTGAAGTTATTTGACTAGGTTCCTTTTCAGGAGTTACGGAATTTTATTGGTATAGCACTGGTGATTGTGATAGTCATCAGAGGTTATAGTCTTAAAATGTTTTATTTCTCTCCAAATTATTCTAACCCCCGGTATAATATATTGTCTTTTAAAAATGTGAATGTAGGAGCTTTCATCGAGCAAGTTAATTGATTTTGGCTCTTTTATATTGATTTGAGTTGCGTTTATTTGATTCCTAGGATGAAGTAACCTTTATCTGTCTAAAAATTGCGGGATATTTTACTTCAAGTAAAGAACATGGTGAAACTAATTCACACGTTAGCGGATCATGATGATGATGTCAACTGCTGTGCCTTGTCCTCTTCCCTCTTGGCCACTTGCTCCTTGGACAAAACAATTCGCCTGTACTCCCTGAGTGACTTCAGTGAATTGCCACATTCTCCATTGAAGTTTCACACCTACGCTGTCCACTGCTGCTGTTTCTCCGCTTCAGGACATATTTTGGCTTCATGTTCAACAGATGGTACCACTGTCTTATGGGATACTCAAAACGGACAGACTTTGGCAGTGTTGGAACAGCCCAGTGGTAGCCCCGTGAGGGTTTGCCGGTTTTCCCCAGACTCCACTTGTTTGGTATCAGGGGCAGCTGATGGAACTGTTGTTTTGTGGAATGCACAGTCATACAAGTTATATAGGTAGGAATATTTAAACGGCTTTCCGTTTTTAATCCTATTAACAGGTCCACAAAAAAAAGAAGAAAAAAAAAGGCAGAATATTTTGATGACGTTAAGAAGCAGATAATTTTTAGACATCACAAGGAAAAGTATTTTGACCTATCTTTGAAGGTCATAAAAACATATGATTCTTGAAGTAGATTTGCTTGGCTCTGACTGTTTTAAATTTCCAGTCTCTCTTTTGTAAAATAAGATTAATCTTGTTAGACTTTCATGGATTTTTTGGGTAAGAGTTCGGCCCAAAAAAACCCCCACAATAGTCTTTTGAATAAAATTTAGTAATTTTAGGCTTTATTTTTGTCACTCGTGGCTCAGGTGTTCTCAATAATAAAGAAATGTAGGTAAATCTCACCTACACAGCTCTTTCCTGACTAGGATTCTTGCTGACCAAGCCCAGAAGAAGGAACCTTGTGATCAGCATGGTGTTGTGTTATCATTTCTTTTTTAAAAAAATCACTTAAAAAACTCCTTTTGGATAAAAATACATCAATTAATTTACACTGGTAATGTTGTGTTGCAACTCACCAACATTAAAACCATGCACTTGTATGTATTTATAGTGTGGTGAAATATATATAACATCAAACATTTTAACCATTTTAACGTGACATTAAGTACATTAAAAACTGTAAACTTTCAAATGTTACCAATTAAAATAGCTTAATATACCTTCCTTTCTCCCTACCCCCCAGCATCACTCAGAGCACAAATGGTAGCTGGTAAACAACTGTTACTCATTTAGATTTGGGTCTTTGGATTGAAGAAAGTGATGTGATTTAAGTGGTGTTAATAAACAGTTTAAAGAGAAAGCACAAGAAGAATGAAATGCCTTTAAGTTATTTTGTGTGAATGAAATACAGCTGTCAGCTAACGAATCTTTTTCACTTATTGGGTGATAAATTCTGCCTCCCTAGCATTATTTCTCTAATGTATGTAATTAATGATATAAAAATGGTACACTGCAGTAGATTTAAGCACTGGCTAGGACACTGCACTAATTGTTGGGTTTTTACCAGTTTTTCCTAATTGAGAAAATAATTAATATTGTTAGGCCAGTGCTTCCTAATCTTCCCTAGATAATTTTAACTTGTTCACAGCATTTTCTTTACATAAAGAATTGGTATTTGAAGATGGGATGAAAGTTCCTGGGTGATTTTGCTGTTTGTTGTTTCTAGGTGATTTTTTATTTTTTGTTTATTTTTTGCGGTACGCGGGCCTCTCACTGTTGCAGCCTCTGCCGTTGCGGAGCACTGGCTCCGGACGCGCAGGCCCAGCGGCCGTGGCTCACAGGCCCAGCCGCTCCGCGGCACGTGGGATCTTCCCGGACCGGGGCACGAACCCGTGTCCCCTGCATCGGCAGGCGGACTCTCAACCACTGCGCCACCAGGGAAGCCCTCTAGGTGATTTTAATACAAAAGTTGAAAGTACTTTTGACCCCAGTAACACGTTTTTCAATCAAAAAGTTATATCTTTAAAAAAAAAAAAGTGACTGTAGTTGATATTGTTGGTGGTTATTGCTTTTTTTGTTAAGCTTTGTAGATTTTAACATGTTCCTACTGACTTGCCATATGGAAAAGTATGAAGATGTTGTCGACTTGTTTGGTTAAGATAATGTTTAGATCCTCTTACTTTTAGCAAGCACATAAATGATATTTTATTTCTCTAGGCATCTACTGCCTTTTATCTCTAGTTCTGTGATAGCCATTTATCCTCTTTTTAGTATGTCAAGCTGCTGTTAGAGATTGTAATGTAAAGTAAAAGATTCTCTGAAATGAAAATTCCCTTTTCTTTTGCTTTTATTTCAGATGTGCTAGTGGTAAGGATGGCTCCTTGGTGGCCTGTGCATTTTCTCCTAATGGAAACTTCTTTGTCACTGGCTCCTCGTGTGGAGATTTAACAGTGTGGGATGATAAAATGAGGTGTCTGCATAGTGAAAAAGCACATGATCTTGGAATTACCTGCTGTGATTTTTCTTCACAGCCAGTTTCTGGTTAGTTATTTTACTCTTGTAAGCACTAGTAATTCCCATTTGCAATTTGTATGTGACTTTTCATTCTTTTACTTATTTTCACTTCATCATTAGTAAAACAACAAGCCCTTTTAATTCATTCCTTTCAAGGAATCATCCTTCTTCTTTATCTTTTTTGATCAAAATGAAATCACAAATATTTTTTAGGGAAAATCAGGATCTTTGGGAAAATATGTGGGGGCTGACTCAACTTGGTGCAGCAGATCTGGATTCCTTGAGTCCGGTAATGTAGAGGCCTTAACCCTGTTGGTTTTACTGTGATTTTTGAAATATTGTCTATTGATATTCAAATAGAAATGTGAAGTGTAAAAATTGGAAACAGGTTTCATTTTCCGTTTACTAATTTAATCTTTCAAAACATAAATTTATAAAGCATTTGACAATACAGTTAGTTTTCAGAAAAAGAAGAAACAAAAACTCCTGAATATAGACTCTTGGTTTTAAATAAATACAGTGAATTGGGAAGTTGTCTTCTTTTAATTTCATCTTCTGTGTTAGGATGAAGCTCTGCTTTTGGCTGCTCCAGTCTTATTGCCAGACCAGTGCTGGCCCATAGCAATATAATGTGAGCTACATATGCAAATTAAAAATTTTCTAGTAGTAGGTGAAATTAATTTTAACATATTTTACCCTATATATCTAAAATATTATTTCAATAATTGATAGTAAAATATCAGTAAGATGTTTTACTATATTTTGGTATGAAGTCTTCGAAATCTAGTGTGCGTATTATGTCACATCTCAATTTGTAGTAGTCACACTTCAACTGTTCAGTAGCCATGTGTGGCGAGTTACTACCTTATTGGACAGCTCAGGTCCAGTAGCAGGATGGCTTTGGCACTCCCCTATTTCAAAACCATCAATGGCATATTAAAATATGATTAAGGTAAGATAAAATACCAAATCCCAAACACAAAGCCTGTAAGTACCTTCATATTCTGTTTCCCTGCCTCATCCCAAATCACACTTGGCTTCATGCATTCTCTTGCCACACTGGCCTCCTTTCATTCCTTGAATGTCTCTTAAGATTTTTCCAAGGGTTTTTACATGTAGACCCTTCACCTGGTTCACTATTAGTCATCCTTTAGCTTTCAGGTAAAAAAAAAAAAAAAAAAAAAATCACTTCAGGTGAGTTTCCCCTTCTCTTACCTCCTGCACACAGTCTAAAGTATTTTGATACAGTCTTTATTTGCACGCTTTATTTTTCTTTTAAAATAGGACTTAGTGAAGTATCACAGGCTTTAATTATATAGTTATTTATATGGATTGCGTTTAATGGTGTTTTTCCTGTTAGATTGTAAGCTCCATAGGGCAGGGCCTGGGTCTGTTTTATTTACAGTGCTTGGAATATAATAGGCCTTGAAATGCAGACTGATGAATAAGATTGATTTGCTGAAATTTCTTGTTTTTGTTTTCTTAGCCTTTTAGTATCATATAGCAGATTAACAGATTTTCTTTTCATGAACCCATTTTTATATTAAACTCCCTACCTAATTTACTTATGATAATTTATTCTTTTAATATATTGTTTTATGCTGTTTTATTCTAAGAAGACCAGCTTGTAACAGACAAGAACCATTTCTTCCATTCTGTGAGACCTTCTCCAAAATCTTACAGGCACTCAGTGAATCTTTAATGAGTTATATAAACATAGGGAGATTTAGGTTTCCTTTTTGATTCTAAGTTACCTGAAAAAAAGATTTTCAATTAAAATACCATTTTTATAGTGATATTAGAGTAAAACTAAGGACATCCTTGTTCTATCTTTAGAGGGGTTGCAGCTCATGGGTCCTGGAAAGGTTCACTAAACTAGGCAGAAAATTTGGTGAGATTCTAAAATAAGTTTAATACTCACATCCCTACCTTGCCTGTAGAGTATATTTCTCAATATACTTCTAATATGTCCCTTCTGTACTTTCTTTAGTTCAATTTCTGTTAAAATACATATTAACCTTATGTGTAAATTCCCTGAAACAGATCAATATATGCTTTAAAGCATATAAACCAATAAATGATTATTATAGGAATTTGTGGTAACTATGTATTTTCTTAAAAGATAAAGTATGTAATTTTTAACTTGTTATTGTTTAATTTGGTATTTGTTAATATCTGTAAATACTTATGACATATTGAATCTTCTGTCTTTGTGACATTTTGCTCAAATAAGGAAAAATAATACTGTTTGTGCTGGAGGATGAATGTTCAATTCTCTCCAGTTTTTAAGTGAAAAGACAGTTTGGATTAGATTATTATTACAATTTAAATATTTTTCCTGAAGAAAAGTTTATTTTTAAATATTATATTTGGATCTCAAGGATAGGCATATTTTAAGCTTTATAATTTTACATTGTCCTAGATGAATTCTTACTACTGAAAGAAACTTCTGAATTAACTTAAGGATCTTATTCAGTCTAGAAACAATAGGAAAAAAAGTTCTCTTAACTGAGTCTAGTACTTAAATATTTTACTCTCAGCCATTTTTGGGTAAACTGTTTTGCCTTAAAAAGATTTAATGATTATTAGGAATTGCTTACATCCATCAAGATCTCTGAGAAAGGATGCTGTTTGGCTGAACCTGTGCTACAAAAACAAAAATGCTGTTGAAATGTGGAAGTCCCATGCAGTTAGAAAAACTTTCAGTGAAAAAGAAATTTTAATTTGTTTTATGTTAATAAAGTATATGTGCTTTCAACAAAACAGAGGGAGTCCATAGGAAGCATTTATTTTACATACCCAGGTGTATAAATTAAATACCATATACTAAATATTTACAAAACAGGAGTGCAATCTTTTTTTTTTTTTAATTTATTTATTTTGGCCGCGTTGGGCCTTTGTTGCTGCACACAAGCTTTCTCTAGTTGCGGTGAGCGGGGGCTACTCTTTGTTGCAGTGCACGGGCTTCTCACTGTGTTAGCTTCTCTTGTTGCTGAGCACGGGCTCTAGGCACGCAGGCTTCAGTAGTTGTGGCATGCAGGCTCAGTAGTTGTGGCTCACGGGCTTAGTTGCTCCGCGGCATATGGGATTTTCCTGGACCAGGGCTCGAACCCGTGTCCCCTGCATTAGCAGGCGGATTCCTAACCACTGTGCCACCAGGGAAGTCCAGGAGTGCAGTCTTAAGATGGGTAGTAGGTTTCTTAATTGTGTCTTACTGCATATGAGTGCTGAAATTTCCTTTGACCTGTGATATTAGGTGGAATTCATATAAAATTGAGTTGGTGATACCAATATTTACATTACCCACAATATTTAGGAACTTATCTAGTGGGTAGATAATGATACACTGAAAGTATCTAAGTAAGCATAACTAGCGGTTTTTTTGTAACACCAAATTTAACTGATTACTTTCCCTGATTTGTGTAATATTTTCCACCAAATCTATTGGACTGAATTGATGTTGTTTTGGATTTATGTAATTCTAGTCTTTGTCTTGATTAAATCAAATGGGGAAACAGTCTCATTCCATGTGAATTAAGACTAAGTTTTTAAGTGAACATATCCTAAAAAAGTTAAGTTGGGAGCAATTAAGCATTTAACACTCATCTCATAACTGACTTTTCTTCCTAATTTTTTCCATCAATGCTAACCTCATAGACTCTAAAATTGGGTTGGAGGGTGCCCTAGGCTTCGTGGCTCAATATTGGCCCTTGCAACATTGAATTATATTCTTAGTGGAAGGGAAATAAAAAGGTATTTTGTTGTCGCAACTTCAGGGGCTAAAGTCATAATCCTTTGAAGTACCTTGCTTAAAAGAAATTCTTTAACTGACATTTTGTTATATGGTATAAATTAATTAATATAATTAATATTGCCTGTGAATGTGGGTTAAATGAATAGAATTAACAGATCTGAGTTAAGAAATTGAAAATTTTTTGGTTTAAATGTTTTAACAATTCTTGTGTATTTATTTGTAACAAATTTATATTTTTAGGTGGAGAACAAGGTCTTCAATTCTTTCGACTGGCATCATGTGGTCAGGATTGCCAGATCAAAATTTGGGTTATTTCCTTTACCCATACCTTAGGTATGTATTCAACTAGTAGTTCTCTAAAATGATTTTTTGTGATTCAGGTAAAATTTATATTTTACTTAATCTTTTTCACTAAAGAACTCTGGATATCTAAAAGTGATTATAAAAATATATTTTAAGAACTTTTAGTCAAAGTAATACATATACATGATTTAGAAATTATATGCACACTACTGATTATGACCTCACCACTACCACTACACACATTCCTGCTCACACATTCCTCCTTTTTCTGTTTTCAATTTTTTTGATGGTTTTCAATGTTTCTCTAAATCCTGTTTACACCACCACATTTTATTTTTTATTTATTTATTTTTTAACATCTTTATTGAGGTATCATTGCTTTACATTGTTGTGTTAGTTGCTGCTGTATAACAAAGTGAATCAGCTATATGTATACATATATCCCCATAACCCCTCCCTCTTGCATCTCCCTCCCACCTTTCCTATCCCACCCCTCTATGTGGTCACAAAACACCGAGCTGATCTCCCTGTGCTATGCAACTGCTTCCCACTAGCTATCTGTTTTACATTTGGTAGTGTATATATGTCAATGCCACTCTCTCGCTTCATCTCAGGTTGCCCTCCCCCCTCCCCGTGTCCTCAAGTCCATTTTCTATGTCTGTGTCTTTATTCCTGTCCTGCCCCTAGGTTCTTCAGAACCATTTTTTTGTTTTTTTTAGATTCCATATATATGCGTTAGCATACGGTATTTGTTTTTCTCTTTCTGACTTACTTCACTCTGTATGACAGACTCTAGGTCCATCCACCTCACTACAAATAACTCAATTTCGTTTCTTTATGGGTGAGTAATATTCCATTATATACATGTGCCACATCTTCTTTACCCATTCATCTGTCGATGGACACTTAGGTTGCTTCCATGTCCTGCCTATTGTAAATAGCGCTGCAGTGAACATTGTGGTACATGACTCTTTTTGAATTATGGTTTTCTCAGGGTATGTACCCAGTAGTGGGATTTCTGGGTCGCATGGTAGTTCTATTTTTAGTTTTTTAAGGAACCTTCCTACTGTTCTCCATAGTGGCTGTACCAATTTACATTCCCTCCAGCAGTGCAAGAGGGTTCCCTTTTCTCCACACCCTCTTTAGCATTTATTGTTTGTAGATTTTTTGATGATGGCCATTCTGACCGGTGTGAGGTGATACCTCATTGTAGTTTTGATTTGCATTTCTCTAATGATTAGTGATGTTGAGCATCCTTTCATGTATTTGTTGGCAATCTGTATATCTTCTTGGGAGAAATGTACCACCACATTTTAACTTTGTTCATTGTAGTTATTGTTTTTTGAGCATGTGTGGGTCTTTCCCCCATGCATTGTACTATTCTTTCAGGTGACTCGTCAGTCAGGAAACTTATGTCTTTCATTTTTGGTATACAGTATTCATTTATTCTAATTCTTCTCTACTTCTCTTTTTATAACTCCCATTAGTTGAGTGTTGGACCTCCTGACTTGATTCCCTGTGTCTATTTTTCCCCCACATTTATCTCTTTATCATTTTTTCTATCTTAGGAAAAAATTCCTTAGCTCTGTCTTTTAACCTTTTTTGAATTTTTTAATCCCATCAATAATATTTTCAATTTCCAAATGCTTACCTTTTTTGTTTCTTTCTCCTAGTGTCCTCCATTTAATGCAAGATCCTCTCTAAACTCTCAGGATACCAATTAGAGGCTTTTTGTTTTGGCTTTAAGTTCCCTTCTGTTTCCTAATGAACTTTGTTTGCTCTTGGGCCCTTTTTTGTTTACCCTGATCTTTCTCTTTCATATGATTACCTTCTTCAAATGCCTGATGATCCTTAGTATTCCATTTACTTTCAAGAATTAAACAACAAGAAGAAGTTTAAAAGCTCTGTGCACATGGTGGTTGTTTGTATTTGCTGGCTTCTCTTTAGGATAAGAAGGGGGACTATTGGCCCTTATTGCGGAAGGGTTGGAGATTTAGAGAATGTGGGTGTCTGTGTTGCCCTAGAGCTGCCATCGAGCCCCCCAGGCAGTCATTGTTTTCCTTCATCCTGGGGAGAAGCATCTAGCTTTCATGCAGCATACTATGGGTGGGGTCAGGGAGGGATGGGAGGTAGATATTGTTTTATAAACAGACTTAAAGTTAATTTTTCTGTTTTCAGGTCTGTATCTCTGACTTTCTTTTTCCTTGGCTTTTAATAGTTGTCTTTTGGTGTTTTCTGTTAATAGTCCTAAGTCTTTTGGGGTTTTCTAGGGAAGATTAGCTTACTTCTTTGCTGTAGCCCCCTCATTTTACACCCCAAGCTGTTCTCTATATATAATCTCGTCAATTAATTTGCATCTGCCTTTCCAAAATTGGTTTCAGTTTCTCATTTCCTGATGCCCCCCTTCCCCTTCTCTTCATTGATGTGAATTTATATCTTTATTAATTCCTTCATTATCATTTTAATGGGAACTCTGAAATTATATGGTCAGTTGGCCATCTTGCTTCAGATGCCCAAAAATATTCTTATTTTATTATTTGTTACCTAACAAGCTTTAGCTAAATCATGAGTTATATTTCATTGTTTATAAAATTATTGCCAGAGATAAACAAAGCTGAACACTAGTTAAAGCGGTAAGGAAGGATTTTAATATACTATTGCAATAGATTTTAATCAGTAATATACTATTGCAAGCGTCCAGCATGAACTGAGCTTAACTTCAGTTTATACAGAGGTGACTGTGTATTTTAAAGGGAGAATGAGGGAATAAAGCAGGGGTAAATGGGGGCTCCGTAGCATCCAGGAAGTGAAAAAATTACAAAAAGCAAGAAGTGAGGAATTTGTCCATGTGAAACGCATGTGAGTTTGTAACTGGCACTTATGGAAGCTAGGCTCCTCCCCTCTCACAGAGCCGGGGAGACAGGAGCTCTATCTCCAGGTGTTGGCTGGAATAAACGTAAATTCTTTTGGCAGCCCTGAGTTTTCCCAGGCAGGCACTTTATAAGGGGGGTAGGGTCATCCTAGGGATGCAACCTTGAACTCTTAGAAACTGTGTTAAAGTCTTTGTAGGCCAAGGTCAAGGCCTAGTCCAGGAGGCATCTCAGAAGAGCCTGGGTAGAGTTCGGTCAGGGAGAGAATCTGTCATTATGCTAGTGTATAGAGAAGGGTCTGCTATTACGAAGTAATAAATACATTTCTTTTTGTGGAAATTTACTTTATTGTCTGTTAGGTTACATTCAGTAATTTTTTAATGTATTCGGTGACACGCTGGTAAAGATAAGAGTTCTATTACTTCTCTGGTCTATCCTACCTCTTCCTTCTGTTATCAAGGTGAAATTCTTATAAGAAACCATAAATATAGTCATGTACGTGGATGTTCTAAATACAACATATCTTTAATAATTCGAAAGCAAAGCTTTTCATACGTTGTCTGGAAAATGTGTTTTTACACTGGCTCTTTAAAAAACATATATAACAGTATATAAACATGTGCAGTTAAAGCCTTTCAATAAAGCGTTTAGCATTATTTGCACCTTTTGGCGGGCCTCTGACTGCTGTGGCCTCTCCCGCTGCGGAGCACAGGCTCCGGATGCGCAGGCTCAGTGGCCATGGCTCACGGGTCCAGCCGCTCCGCAGCATGTGGGATCTTCCCGGACCGGGGCACGAAACCGTGTCCCCTGCATCAGCAGGCGGACCCCCAACCACTGCGCCACCAGGGAAGCCCCTGCACCTAATTTTAATGCTTATTTGTAGAGAGGAATAGATAGACAAATGGATCTTATACTTGAGAATGTAATAGATTCTTAGGATCCTGTTGCAGGTTTATTAAATCTTCATTTAGTTTGCAACTTAACATTTTTGCTTTGTTTGATTGATTGTGCCTACTTATTGATCTGTATATGCCTAAGTATTGATCAGTGCCTTGAATGCCTATATCTGCTGTCCCATATAAAAACATATTTTTTTCTATTTTGGATAGAAATAAAATACTTAATAATAAAGGGAAATAAATATTTATTTTTTATTTGTTGAAACTTTTACCTGCTCTAATGACCTTTTTGTTTAGTTAAATGCTTTCTATCTTAAGAGCCATTAACACTTCGAAAAAGTTCTTATTAGGTGCGAGAAAATTACAGATTTCACTTATTTCCTTGTCTTGCCAGGCCAACTTCTTAGTGATTGTTTTCATATGTTGTCACTAAAATACATTGAATTCCCTCAGCTTACCTTTAAAAGAGTTATGATATTCCTTTTCAGTAATTATAGAAAGCATAAAAAGAATTTTAGTGTTACCATACTTGTAGGAGTTTTATAGGATATATTGGAATTATAAGATGTTACATTACTATTATTTTTAATTTATGGAATCAGAAAATATTTTCTTAGTATCAGATATTTAAAACTACAGGTATTTGATTCTTTTAGGCGTTTGGGCAGTTGGTGTGTGGTGTGTGTGTATTTTTTAAGATACCAAGATTGAAGTATAGTTTAAAATTTCAATTAGTTGAAAATTTTATATATTTAATAGTTTAGAATTTTTTAATTTAAAAATAATTTGATGATTATAACCCCCCATCTAGTCTTTGCTAACCCCACCATTTTCCTTACCCATTGCTGAACTTTTGAAACCACTTACTCGAGTTGCATGACAATTTTTTTTTCATTTTTGTGTCTTTTAGGCACTCAAAGATTTTATTGAACAAATAAATGAAATAGTTTTTACTTAAAAATAAATTCTAAGCACAGTCAGCTGGCTAATTTTTCTCACCTTGTTGTTTGCAGGTTTTGAATTAAAATATAAAAGTATACTGAGTGGGCACTGTGCTCCTGTGCTGACTTGTGCTTTTTCTCACGATGGGCAGATGTTAGTTTCAGGGTAAGTTACTTAGTTTAATTTCCTTAAACCATTTTGGTATGAAATAGAGTAGACTTACAGAAAAGTACATAAAACATAAGAGACTAGGTTGATAAATCATTGTGATGCAAACTTGTAACCGCTGCTCAGGTCAGGAAATAGACCATTGCTGGTTTTCCTCTAGAAGTCCTCCCCTTCCAAGTGCCCCTTTCTGGTGACAGTACCTCAGGTCATATGCAACATTGCTTTTTCCTTTTAAATGGATTTAAAAGAAATCATACATTATGAATTATTTTGTGTCTGGCTTCCTTTACTCAACATTACGTTTGTTTTCCTAGTGGTTGAACAAATCTGATGTATATAATATGTGATAGGAATCCAGTTTCATTTCTTTCCACATGGATATCCAGTTGTCTCAGTACTGTAAGGTGAAAAGATAATCTTTTCTTCACCATTTTCATCTGCCACCTTGTCAGAAATCACTGATCCTTTATGTGTGGGTCTTTTCTCAGCCTGTTACTCTGTTCTGTTTTTCTGTTTATCCTTGCTCTGATATCTTTCTGAGCCTTTATAATTTGGCTGTTCCTGGCTTTTGACACTTCCATGTAAATTTTAGAGTTAGCTTGTCAGATTGTCTCCAGTTCCTCCCTCTACCCACACAAACCTGTTTAGATTTTGACTGGGATTGTACTGAGTCTGATAAATTTGGGGAGAATTGACATCTTTATGATGTTGAGTCTCCAACCCATGAATATGGTTTATGTTTCCATTTATTTGTCTTTTGATTTCTCTCAATATAATGTCTCTCAATAGAATACAGTTTATTTGTCATCCTTGTGGAGGTCCTCCTCATCTTTTATTAGATTTATTCTAGGCACTTAATTTTTTTGTTGCTATTATAAAAGATGTGGCTAATATAGGGAAATATATATGGAAAGACTGGATTTATCTGTTAAGATTCTAATTTTGGATTTTTTATGTATAAAATCATATCATATGTTAATTATGGCTTTTGTCTCTTCCTTTCTAATCCTTATACCTTTGGTATCTCCTGTGCTTTACTGAACTGGCTAACTGGCTACCAGGATAATGGAAATAGTGAAAATAGCCAACCTTGTCTGACCTAACTGCAAAGGGAACGCTTTCATTATTAAGTGTGATCACTGTAGATTTTGGGAGATAAGCTTTATTAACTCTTCTGTTCCTTCTATATAGTTTGTAAGAATTTTTTTTCATGAATAGGTGTTATAGTTTATCAAATGATTTTTCATGCATCTTTTGAAATGAGCATACGCTTTTTCTTTTTTATTCTATAAGTGTCATAAATTATACTGATTTTTATAAATCTGCTTTACACATGTTAACTGATCTTTTGTTGGAATAAATACAACTTAGGCCATATTATTTTTGTGTATTGCTACAGAGAAGTCAGTTTTATTCTGACTGTTGCTTTTTTTGGATATAATTTATTTTTTTTCACTGGCTTCTCACACATTTTGAGTTTTCTGCACATTTACTTTGATGTATCTAGTATTGGGTTTCTTTTTATTTAGTTTGCTTGGAATTTACTGAACTTCTTAAAGATGTAGGATGATATTTCATCAGTTTGGGGGGAAATTCTCATTTATTATCTCTTCCAATATTGCCTCTGTCCTTTTCTTTCTCTAATTCGGGGATTCCAATTAAATGCACATAATACCTTCTTACTGTAAACTTTATGACTTATTCTCTCTTTTGTATTTTATTTTGAAATTTTGAATTTTATTTATTTTCTTATACAGCAGGTTCTTATTATCTATTTTATACATATTAGTGTATACATGTCAATCCCAATCTCCCAATTCATCCCACCACCACCCGCCCTCTACCACTTTCCCCCCTTGGTGTTCATACATTTGTTGTCTACATCTGTGTCTCAATTTCTGCCCTGCAAACCAGTTCATCTGTACCATTTTTCTAGGTTCCACATATATGCGTTAATATACTATATTTGTTTTTCTCTTTCTGACTTACTTCACCCTGTATGACTGTCTCTAGAGCCATCCACATCTCTACAAATAACCCAGTTTCATTCCTTTTTATGGCCGAGTAATATTCCATTGTATATATGTACCACATTTTCTTTAATTCGTCTGTTGATGGGCATTTAAGTTGCTTCCATGACCTGGCTATTGTAAATAGTGCTGCAGTGAACATTGGGGTACATGTGTCTTTTTGAATTATGGTTTTCTCTGGGTATATGCCCAGTAGTGGGATTGCTGGGTCATATAGTAGTTCTATTTTTAGTTTTTTAAGGAACCTCCATACTCTTCTCCGCAGTGGCTGTATCAATTTACATTCCCACCAACAGTGCAAGAGGGTTCCCTTTTCTCCACACCCTCTTAAGCATTCGGTGTTCGTAGATTTTCTGATGATGCCCATTCTAAATGGTGTGAGGTGATAATCTCATTGTAGTTTTGATTTGCATTTCTCTAATAATTAGTGATTCTTTTTGTTTTTTAATTGGAGTATAATTGCTTTACAATATTCTGTTAGTTTCTGCTATACAGTGAAGTGAGTCAGCTATATGTATACATATATCTCTTCCCTCTTGGACCTCCCCCTCCCCACCCCCTATCCCATCCACCTAGGTCATCACAAAGCACCACGCTGAGCTCCCTGTGCTATACAGCAGGTTCCCACTAGCTATCTGTTAAACACCTGGTAGTGTATTTATGTCAAACCTAATCTCCCAGTTCATCCAACCCTCCTGTTCCCCCTCTGTGTCCACACGTCCGTTCTCTGTACCTACGACTCTATTGCTGCCCTACAAATAGGTTCATCTGTACCATTTTTCTAGATTCCACATATATGCATTAATATACGATATTTGTTTTTCTCTTTCTGGCTTACTTCACTCTGTATGACAGTCTCTAGATCCATCCACATCTCTACAAATGACCAATTTTGTTCCTTTTTATGGCTGAATAATATTCCATTGTATACATGTACCACATCTTCTTTACCCATTCATCTGTCTTTGGACATTTAGGTTGTTTTTGTGTCCTGGCTGTTGTAAATAGTGCTGCAGTGAACATTGGGGTACATGTGTCCTTTTGAACTATGGTTTTCTCAGGGTATATGCCCAGTAGTGGGATTGCTGGGTCATATGGTAGTTCTGTTTTTAGTTTTTTAAGGAACCTCCATACTGTTCTCCACAGTGGCTGTATCAATTTACATTCCCCTGCAACAGTGCAAGAGAGGTTCCCTTTTCTCCACACCCTCTTTAGCATTTCTTGTTCATAGACTTTTTGATGATGGCCATTCTGACTGGTGTAAGGTGATACCTCATTGTAGTTTTGATTTGCATTTCTCTAATAATTAGTGATGTTGAGCAGATTTTCATGTGCTTCTTGGCCATCTGTATGTCTTCTTTGGAGAAATGTCTATTTAGGTCTTCTGCCCATTTTTGGATTGGGTTGTTTGTTTTTTTGATATTGAGCTGCATGAGCTGTTATATATTTTGCAGATTAATCCTTTGTCCATTGATTAATTTACAAATATTTTCTCCCATTCTGAGGGTTGTCTTTTCATCTCGTTTGTCGTTTCCTTTGCAGAGGCTTTTAAGTTTCATTAGGTCCCATTCATTTATTTTTGGTTTTATTTCCATTACTCTAGGAGGTGGGTCAAAAAAGATCTTGCTGTGATTTATGTCAAAGAGTGTTCTTCCTATGTTTTCCTCTAAGAGTTTTATAGTGTCCGGTCTTACTTTTAGGTCTCTAATCCATTTTGAGTTTATTTTTGTGTTTGGTGTTAGGGAGTGTTCTAATTTCATTCTTTTACATGTAGCTGTCCAGTTTTACCAGCACCACTTGTTGAAGAGACTGTTTTTTCTCCATTATTTATCCTTGCCTCCTTTGTCATAGATTAGTTGACCATATGTGCGTGGGTTTATCTCTGGGCTTTCTATCCTGTTCCATTGATCTATATTTCTGTTTTTGTGCCAGTACCATAGTCTTCATTACTGTAATTTTGTAGTATAGTCTGAAGTCAGGGAGTCTGATTCCTCCAGCTCCATTTTTTTTCCTCAAGACTGCTTTGGCTATTCGGAGTCTTTTGTGTCTCCATACAAATTTTAAGATTTTTTGTTCTAGTTCCGTAAAAAAATGCCATTGGTAATTTGATAGGGATTGCATTGCATCTGTAGATTGCTTTGTGTAGTATAGTCATTTTCACAATATTGGTTCTTCCAATCCAAGAATATGGTATATCTCTCCATCTGTTGGTAACACCTTTAATTTCTTTCATCGGTGGCTTACAGTTCTCTGCATACAGTTCTTTTTTCTCCCTTGGTTGGTTTATTCCTAGGTATTTTATTCTTTTTGTTGCAGTGGTAAATGGGAGTGTTTCCTTAATTTCTCTTTCAAATTTTTCATCATTAGTGTATAGGAATGCAAGAGATTTCTGTGCATTAATTTTGTATCCTGCAACTTTACCAAATTCATTGATTAGCTCTAGTAGTTTTCTGGTGGCATCTTTAGGACTCTATGTGTAGTATCATGTCATCTGCAATCAGTGACAGTTTTACTTCTTCTTTTCCAATTTGTATTCCTTTTATTTCTTTTTCTTCTCTGATCGCTGTGGCTAGGACTTCCAAAACTATGTTGAATAATAGTGGTGAGAGTGGACATCCTTGTCTTGTTCCTGATCTTAGAGGAAATGCTTTCAGTTTTTCACCATTGAGAATGATGTTTGCTGTGGGTTTGACATATATGGCCTTTATTATATTGAGGTAGCTTCCCTCTATGCCCACTTTCTGGAGAGTTTTTATCATAAATGGGTGTTGAATTCTGTCAAAAGCTCTTCCTGCATCTATGGAGATGATCATATGGTTTTTATTCTTCAATTTGTTAATATGGTGTATCACATTGATTGATTTGCTTATATTGAGGAATCCTTGCATTCCTGGGATAAACCCCACTTGATCATGGTGTATGATCCTTTTAATGTGCTGTTGGATTCTGTTTGCTAGTATTTTGTTG